CTTTCTTTTGGCGAAAGAACGGAGTCTGTATCTATCAAGGAAGTTGAGTTATTGCAAAAACAAAAAGGGTCTTAAACTTTTGTGGAGCACTTTTACTGGTACCGGTACCGGTACTGGTGCATACCTAGTGCTGAGTGAGAATTTTCATTTTTCTGTCGTAAGGTCCTTGTCCCCTGCTTCCTTCAGAGGGCCTAGTTCAAAAGCCTAGTTGTCCAGAAGTCCATTGTGAAAGTAAAATCCAAAGCAGATTGATATCGCCATTGGAATCAGCATGTCTGAAAACTTCCAGGCTCTGGGATTCAGCCTGAAATCTTCATTTTAGTAGGCTGTATTCCAATTTTTCTTGTATTGGAAAGACGCTCATTGAAGCAATTACTCTTGCACAGATAAATTATGTGCACAAACACATTGTTTCTCAAGATACACACTCGATAGTATATAAGTCTATCAAAAATGGAGAATGGAAAAAAACGCCAAAAATGGTCTGGAATGGGACAGAATGGGCTGGAATGGCCCATTCCGCTTTTCCCCCTTGCGTTTACCTCCGGCATGGATCTAATATTATTTTTTAACTCAGTTTTCAACGCTAAATAAGAAAAAAATAATTTGAACGTTCCGGTCAAAATTCAAGTCGAAAAATCCAATGTTTTTGAACATCATCGTTCTTTTTGAGTTTTAATGTCGTTCGAGTTTTCTCGATTTTTCTACATGAAAGAAACGTTTAGAAAAATTAAACTACATACTCTTGATATTCTTGAAGAATATTTTGTTCAAAACACATCGAATTATATATTACTCGATGCAGATTTTTGTAGATTCCGAATATCACCTTGATTTTGAATAAAAATGCTTTTGGTAGTTTCAAATTTAAGTTGTTTACTTTTTTCTTTCTTCATATATATTTTGGTTGAGAGAATTTTTGAACTTTTTTCCTTCGTGTTTATGAATACACATATATTAACTACATATATTAACTAAACATTTCGATATGTTAACATATCATCCTCAGTAGTATAAAAACGAAATAGTTTATCACTCGATATGTCAAATTTTCCAGAATTTGAAAAACAATGTCAACATGATGTATACAATGATAGAATAAGAGTTGATTCTGCATATATACGTTCGTGTTCACTGAGAAAAAGAGAAATATATGTTGTTATGCGTTTCTGCTCTTCTGTCTCTGCTATTTTCCCATACGATATCACACACATTCTTTTTTCCATCGTTTTGTGTCATCGATATAAGAACATCTATTTGATTTTATGTTTTATGATTTGAATGAGAAAAAATATTCCCCACACACATACTCGCAAACTGTTAGTGTACATAAAATTTTTCAAGCTCTATCCCAGTTTGATTATTCTAAATACGCATGGTACGAGATATACAAGTTGTTATAAAAATTTAGTTAAGAAAACAACTCATTTTCGGACTTGATGAAAAGACACTAAGCTCTAATTTTAGTCCCGATAGATAGAGTACATAAAATTACATAACTAAAGTAAAACCTTTGACCTTTGGTCCAATCATTTTTGTAGCTTTCTCGTGTTCTTAAATGACAATTCATCAAAAGCACTGGTGCTTCAAAAGCACTTCATAGCCTTTGTTTTTGAGGAAGAGAAAAGTCTTTATATTCAATAGATTAGCCTGAACGTCTGAATAACTCAACCATTTGTTTTATTAGTTATGTCAAGCTATATCGCTTTCTAAGCCAAGAAAGACACCCATCATCACATAAAGGGTGGCTCAGAAGTCCTGACCCGATTTGAATAATAAATTTTTCTATAGTGAAACAAGTGATAGTAAATTTGTCTCTATGAAGAAACGATGCAGTAAAAAACGCTCTACAAGATGACTATTGATTGATCCCGTTAACTCATCTAGTAAGACCGTTATAGGCTTAGAAATATACTTCACAAAAAAGAAAAATCAACCGCGAATCCGGTCTCGATATTTTTGCTTTAATTCCTGTTCCTTAGGTCCCCTAGAATAAGTTCTTTTTTTTAATAGAAGCGTCGTGAAATTCTCTACAAAATCCGTACCTTTAATTTCAGAACTTCAATCAAGAAAACTAAGCAAATTATACACGAGGCAAAAAAAATAAAAACTTTGTAAATTTGATTTGTTTTACTTAACCGTCTTCTTCTCCTATTATATCCGTAAAAAAAGCGGAGCAAAAGCGACAACACAATTGTGTTGGGTACTTTCAAATGTGCTCTTTCTTGTGGTATGTAAAAAGACTTTTTAGAGCAGATGGTGTGCTGGAGAATCAAGTTTCAAAAATATGTCAAAAATCGACAACCCCGTTTCCAACAGTGTACCCAGCAAGAAACTGAAAACGTGATCGAAGTTTTGATGTTGCAACTAGGTAGAGACGAGCAATCATTTCTGATCAAAGCAAAACAAACCCGATCGAAAAACGTTTTGTTTTGCTGAAGTTATGGGACTTTTATTGAAAGCACCACCATATGGACCGGGTTTACAGTTGATTTTTCTGTTTGTGAAGCACATTTCTAAGCCTATAACTTTCTTACTAGATGAGCTAACAGAGTCAATCAATAGTCATCTTGTAGAGCGTTTTTTACTGCATCTTTTCTTCACAGAGACAAATTTACAACCACTTGTTTCACTATAGAAAAATTTATTATTCAAATTGGGTCAGGACTTCTGGTCCACCCTTTAGCTCCAGTAACTTTTAGTTCGAGCGTCTGAATCTTCTCCACGATATAGTCTACTAGCAAGCAATATGGTAAAAATCACAGACCTCAGGAACGACTATTTGTCGAAATATAGTGTGTACACAAGGAACTCGATGAAAAGACAGCGATCTCCCATATTTTCAGAATAATATTTGACAGAAGCAAGGTCGACTCGTAACTTCCAGCATGTTTTAACTATTGGTTTGAAGAATCTTTTGATGAGACAATAAAGTTTAAAATCTCTTCTGCAGATGATGAAAGACGGGTCTATTAGTCTCTAGCTACGTGTGTTAATCTTATTTCAAGATCAATCAAAGCACTTCACTCCGTTGACGAGAAACCATACAGCTATGAAGCCACGCGAACGCGAAGTTCGTTTTTTAGATCAAGTGACAATACATATACGTACCGCTTCTATTGAAAATTCTTATAACTTTAGGTTGAAACATTATCTAAAGTTGGGAGACGTCTTATTTTGATTAGAAATGTTTGCTCTGCAATCTAGAAGCACTTTAGAACTACTTTTTCCTCTCGAATTTGTATATATTAACTACAGTTAGTGGAAAAGTCAGTTATTCAAGGCTTCGTAGAAACTTCCTGAAAAACCTGCAGAAACCTCAGCTGTAGGTTTTTCTGTCATAAATTTTGTCAGTAGATACATTGGGCTATCCAACAATGTGCTTAACTCAATGTTGACTTTTGTACAAGAATTCCGTACTCTTGAAGGGGAGTTCTTAATCCGGATTGACAGTAGTAGAAACAAATCGAATTTCATAATTTGCATTTGAGAGCATTTACATTTTTTCATCATAGAACGAATACTAAAGTACACTCATATTTTTTGTGAAAGAAAAAATGCAGAAGCGACAGCACAAACGTCAAAGAAAAGAAGAAACACGCCACATTTTGTTCTGCTCTGATAAGAAAAGAGAAAAATAGGTTTTTGTTTCATGACGATAAAGCATTTTTTGTAGTAAAAAAAAAACAGAAAAAGCTTCGCGTGCACATCCTTCAAAAGTTAACTGAAAAACGTTTTCACTAGTTTTATTCAAAAAGTGATTAAGAATGTATCAGAAAAAACTTTTGGTATAAGCTTTATTCTGTCAGAATACAAGCAGAAAAATATTTCCATTATAGTATTCTAACTGGAACGATCGAAGAACACAAATGAATTTTGTATGAATAGAGATTCGAACATGTGAACTTAGCTTTGTATTTAACTGCAAAACTAAATTTACTGTTCTGTGTCTATATTCTGTACAATGATTGAAGTTGTGCAAACGACTCGATGTTACCGGTAGTCATTTTTTGGGTATGTTTTATGCGTTTTATGTGTTTAGGTATAAACTTTATTCTGTCAGAATACAAGCAGAAAAATATTCCGTTATAGTGTTCTAAACTAAAACTAAATTTTTAAAAATATGTCTTCCATTTCAAAGCGCTCTTTATTGTTTTCGACTTTAGATAATCTTTTATGGAATCTTCCAGACAAATTCTTAATTTTAATCAAGCCTGGCGTTTTCATCGAATCGACGATCCCAACGAAAAACAAGATAATTATCATTTGAGACAGTTTGATGATTTGAATTGGGAGTTGGTAAACATACCCCACACGGTTCGTCTCGTTCCATACAATGGAAGTGGTGGAACGAATTTTCAAGGTCTTTGTTGGTATCGAAAACATTTTCAGTTGGAAACAGAATGGAAGGAACGCAAAAAAAAACTGTTTATAGAATTTGAAGGATTAATGCAAGTTGCCGATGTTTGGCTGAATGATCAGTTCTTGATGACACATTACGGTGGCTATCTACCGTGCTTAATAGACATAACAGATTTTGTTCAATTTGATAATTTAATTGCCGTTCGTTTGGATAATCGAAATCAACCGCTTGTTCCTCCGGGGAAACCGCAACAAGAATTGGACTTTACGTATGCTGGTGGCCTCTATAGAAATGTTCACTTTCTCGTTTTAAATCGACTTCATATAACAAACGAACTTGAAACTAAAGACAGCGGAATATTCGTTTCGTTTCAACAAGTCAGTCATGAATCAGCCACAATAGAAATTAACACTAATGTTCATAATGAGTTCGCGCAACAAACGGAAATTTGTCATTTGACACATGAACTAATCGATTCACAAGGTCAAATTGTTGTGACTATTTCATCCGAACCGCTTCCAATTAAGCCAAATGCTACTATGACATTTACTCTGGAAATGAACGTAAGAAATCCTCAGCTGTGGCATCCCGAACATCCCTACCTATATACACTTCTAACTCGAGTCTTCGATGACAGTTCTAACTTCGTACTCGATGATCTTTCAATTCAAATTGGTATTCGCACGATTCAATTCCAACTGGATGGACTGTACATAAACTCAGAGAAATTCTTTTCCTTCGGGATAAATCATCATCAAGATAATTTATATGTTGGAAATGCCGTCTGTGATTCAGAACATTATCGAGATGTCATGAAACTTCGTCAAGCTGGAATGACTTCGTTTCGTTCACATTATCCACATGCGCGGGCATTCATGGACGCCTGTGATCAACTGGGCATTCTCTGTATTGTATCAACGCCTGGATGGCAATATTTCAACGAAGATCAAGTGTTTCTAGCCCGATGCTATCAGAATACACGGGAAATGATTCGACTAAATCGAAATCGACCGTCTATAATACTATGGGAGATTGCACTGAATGAAACATCGTATAATGAAGAATATGCTCGAACTTCGTATCAAATTGCTCATGATGAGTATCCATTAGGAGATAAGTGTTATGCATCAGGTGATGCCCGAATGCCATATCAACGAACTGATCCCATATTTGATGTCATTTATTTTGAAACACAGTTCCCTCTTCCCGAGAATAAGAGACCAATGTGGTGGCGAGAGTTCGGTGATGCGTGGGATTTGAACTGGACAGATCAGGTGGCTGATAATCGAGTTAAAAGAGAGTGGGGTGAACATGCCATGCTGTTACAAGCTAAAAGGCATCAACAATCACTCAGCAAGGTAATGAACACATCGAACCCATCAGTTTGTGGCTGTGGTCTTTGGGCTGGAATTGATTGCGATCGTGGTTACCATCCAATGCCATTTCTCGGTGGTATTCTGGACAAATGTCGTTTGCCAAAATTTTCTTATTACATGTTCAAGAGTCAAACATTCGATCCGAAAATGGTTTTCATTGCAAATTTAATGACTCGTTATTCGCCAAGAGATGTAACTGTTTTCAGTAATTGTGAAGCTGTGCAGTTGTTTCGAGATGATGGCGAGGGGAAGGGATGGATTTTGGTTGGAGAACAAAAAGTTGTCAGTGATGGAAATTTGCCCCATCTACCTGCTGTATTTGAAAGTGCTTATGATCAGTGTGATCAACGTCGTCTAAAAGCAAACGGTCTTGTTGATGAAGAAGTTGTTTGTGAACACGTGATTACGTCACCGGGTGTTGCTCGAGCTTTGGTTTTGACTGTCGATGATTGTGGACGATACTTAACAGCTGATGGATCGGATTTTATTCGAGTTTATGCAACGATCATCGATGAGAAACAGAGCACAGTTCCATTTAATGACTGCTCGATCAGTTACACAGTTCAAGGAGTCGGTACAATTTTGGGAGACAGAGCGGGAATTGAAGCAAATCCGGTTAGATCAGAACTAGGAATAGCAACTGCACTTATTCAGACTACATTAGTCCCAGGTAAAATTATAGTCACAGCTAGCGCACAAGGACTGAAAAAGGCAACATTGGAATTTGAATCTGTACAGTTGAAACAAAAAACTGTAAAAGGCAGAGATTTGTTTGAAATTTTATAATATTTGTTATAAAGAAGTTAATGCACATTAAAAGAAAGTCGATTGAACAATTCTCAGCATTCCTTTTCTAAGAACTCGAGTAAGCTGACGTATGAAGCCGTATCGTATATAAAAACAGATAACGAGTATTTTCTAAGCAAAATATATGAATGAGTTTTGTTCCTGCTATACTCAAAAGATCACTGGATGTCGCTTTTTTTTCTAAATAAAAATATTTTCTATACATCAGAATAGTATGAATCAAAAATGTTTCCATGAACATCTCTATAGTATAATGAAAGCTGCATATCTCTTTTCCGGAAAAGTCCGGACTGGAGATCCGGACTGGAAGATTTTTTGGTGGACTCGGACTGCAGATTTTTTAAAGGACTCGGACTCGGACTTGAGTTTTTGTATTTCGAGTCCGATCTATTCAACTTTCAACGCAAATAAGCAGAGAAAAATGAAAAGCGAAATAATAACACCTTCTGTTTCACAAGAAATTGAAAATTTTGTTCAGGAAATAGACATGCAAAATAATCTTATTTTCGGCAAATCAAATATCTATCCAGGGCTCAGTAAATTATAAAAGAGAAATAAACCACACCCATCAAAGAAAGAATCTAAAACATTACCGAACTCGAAATGGACTGGGAACTTGGACTCGGTCCTTAATGTCAAGGACTCGGACTCGGACTTGGCTCGGACTCGCCCATGCCTGGTGGCATAACGCGAAAAATGGTTACAAAAGCGAAATTCTGCAGAGATCCGTATATTCGTCTAGAAAAAAATGTTTACAAAATTCTTGATTAAAACCAAATATTGACGGACTTCTCTATTATTCGAACTAACACAGAATGTTGTAAATATTTTGCTCTAGAAGAATATACAGATTTCTCCAGAATTTCACTTTTGTAACCATAATTACAAAAGATTTATTTCAATGAATACCGCTGCATTAACAAAAAGTTGATTTTACGATTTCAAAAGAATGAGATCCAAGGATTTAAATCTTCTTTTTTCAAAAACAACTTTCTTAGATGCATTATTTTTCTGCGTAGTAGAACATTACTCTGTTACTTTCCTATTTTGTTCAACGACCATAAGTCACGATGACCACTGCAATTTGCATACATTCTTGAATCACATCCCATGTAGAAATTGCAAAGGAGTTTTGCTTGGTCACGCAAAAGAAAATGCAAAAACATAAGTGGCGTAACGCGAAAAATAGTTACAAATCCGAAATTCTCCAAAATTCTTTACATTCTTCTGGAACAAAATGTTTACATAATTCTTGATTAGTTCGACTAATAGAGAATTTTGTAAATATTTTGTTTGAGAAAAATATATAGAATTTTGGAGAATTTTGGATTTGTAATCATTTTTCGCGTTACGCCACTTATGTTTTTGGATTCCTTTTTGGGTTATTCACTTGATCAATGTAAAAAATAATCTTTGGCTTTGGCGACGTGGGATAATTACCCTGATATACGTACGACAGACACACAGGGTAAAATATTTTTGCATACTTTCGAATTGCTTGGACAAACATTGCAATGGAAACAACTAGAGACAGTTTCATATATGTAATGATGGCAAAATTCTCATGATACGCTTTTTTTACCGAAATATATCACATACAGTGTCAAATTTACGTACTTTTACTTTGAAATTAAGTGTATTTTTCTCGTTCATTTGTCTTTTTTAAAATGATCCACGTTTAGTTTGGACTTCGACTACTTTTCGTATCGATGTATAATGCACATAATCATTTTGATTAGTTGCTCTTGAATGTTTATTTTAAACATTAACCGTTATTCCATACAATCGATACTAAGAAAATCATGTTGTTGATTAAATTTATTGGCAATAAATGCTTACTTTTAACCATATTTGTCAAGTCCAACTCAACTGGCATACAAGTTAGAAGTTAATATTCGATTTACCATTTTATGTTGGATACCATTGCTTATATCGAGACAAAAACTGTAAAAGTGTTCAAGTTTTTTGCTGATGTACTATGAAGATGATGTGAATGAAATTCACCGTTTTTCGACGTTAAATTACCCGGAATTCGATTGAAGGATTGATGTGAATGTCGTTCGGGATTCAAATTTAATCGAGATAACACATCCTTGCTTCTGGTTAATAGTTTAATAACATTCAAAATTGATGTCAAACAGAAGTTCTTGAATGGATTCAGTATATTGTGCGAAAGTTGATGACGAATGTCCTGATTTAGAAAAAGAACAAGTTTGCATTTGGTGCATTGATTGCATTTGGATAATTCTGTGCCGGCTGCACTAAATGAAAACATTATAAGTGTGGCTTAATGATAACAATGCAACAATGTCGTTAGTTCGACGTTATTATCTAAATTCATATAACATTTCCAAGTGTTAAACCTTTGAAGTAAAAAGACTTAACGTAGGCGTTCAACTTCTAATGTTGAATATGTTGGTCATTTAACATTGAGTCTTCTTGCTGACAAATAGACATTTTTTAAATATTTACTGGATTTTTCGATATAATCAGTCACTTGTTGTGGTGCATGTGAATCAACATAAATGCAATAAAAAATTATGTTGTTGATAAATCAATTCCTATTTTTTACTTTCTTGATTAAGGCATTTACTACTTTGACAGTTTTCAATTCAAAATAATTTGAATGTTAATTTACACTGCTGTCATACCGGGAGAAATAAAAGAATTCTGGCTTTATACAATTTCTCACCACTTTATATTTTATATCATTTAATAGATCACCTAATCGAAAAAAACTGGTTAATCCTGATAAGAATCTTCTCAGTTTCTTACGAATTTCTTATATAAGAAGTTACACGAAAGTGATGAGAAATTCACTGGTTCTGGTAAGAAATTTATAAGAATCTTATACGATATTCATAAAAAATAACAAGAATTCATAAGAATTTTTTCAAAAGCCTTTTAATCATTTCTCAACCCGATTTTTGAAAGTAATGTATTTTCCAAGGAGTGTTTCATGCTTTGATTACCTTGAAATTTTAAGAAAACGTTGTTTTTAGGTCCCTCTAGAAAAGTGAGTGTGAAACGTTTTATATATAGACAAAATCTATCCGTTTTAGGCTTTCGAGAAATGAAAACGTGTTTGCTTGAATACAGAAGAAACCTTACTGGAAGATAATATAAATTTTAGAATAGGCATGGCAACAGCTTTCTAGTCTCTCATCGTTTTTTGATGTTCTAATGCTTTCTTCTTAGATTGTGAAGGAATGTAGGGAATAAGTTTCTTTATTTACTGACTGAAGTTCCAAATAGAATGTTGTTTCATAATGTCATCTTCAATTATATGAAATAGATTGATTAGTGACTTAGTGGTTGTAACTCAGATTGTCAGGATACATAGTACGCAGATTCGATCCCTGCTACGGACCATGCGTGTTTTTTGTGTGCAAAATAGCATTAAATTGGCTTAGTTCAATCATCTGATTCTTTTCTAGTAGATAAAACGATCTTTTTTAAAATTCTTATGCCTTTTCATGAATATCTTACAAGATTCTTATAAATTTCTTACCAGAACCAGTTCTTACCAGATTCATATATAAGAATCGATCTCTAAGGTCTTAGAACGGCTAGGTGCGTATTCTACCCCTATCTCTCACGACGGAACATTCCCAAGTGAGGCACTCCGATTTTGTTCAAACCTGGCAATTTATATGTAATCAAGAGCACTGATTACGAATATGATAACCGTTTGTGCTCATAGACCTTTCCCAGCGTTTCTTTGGAGAACCGAGAAATCCCCTGAAGCCCCAGCAATATTTTACCAACATGTTGGGATTGTAACCTGGAAATTTTGCATAAAAATGAGATGCTTGCCAGCTCTCCATGACTTTTCTTTACAAAGTTACAGAATTTACAAGAGAAATCCTAAATTAATTTTCGTTTTTCTTTCTATATCTCTGAGCTGACTATAACCATTTGGGGCTTCTCGTGTAAATTCTGAAACTTTGCAAAGAAAGGTCATGGAGAGCTGGGAAGCGTCTCATTTTTATGCAACATACAGACATTTCCCGAATAGATGAACCCTTTATTTTTATGCTATTCGAAAGAGAAATTAACGTGCTACATGTTGACAAACAAATGATTGAAAAAGACCTTTCGGGAGTTCTAAAAACAAAAATTTATATAACAGGGTGAGTTAAAACATGCACACAGTTAACACTTTCAGAAAAAATTTCAAATTATCGATATTGCAATACGAATATAGCATTTATTCATCAGCTAGTAATTCGCCAGATGATGAGAATAATTAGACGATATGATGATCACTGATAGATCTTTCAAACACTTAGTTTCCTACCAAAAACGATCTGGTGATTTTCATTTCTTGTACTAGCAAACTTTTGTTGAAGTACTGATTCTAGATTCAAAAGTCGTTATGATTTACTGGAAAAAAGCCAACCCATTCATTTCAAAAGGGTGATAACATAATATCAATTAGCACAACTACTAAAAGCAAGGTGATGCATAACAAGGGCACAATATTCATTATTTTTATTTTTGAATTGATACTGATTGTGTTAAAATATATACGTGCTGGTATATATATATATATATATCATATTTTTAAGTGAGAGTGAAAATAGTCCCATGTGTGACAGAAACCAATAAAAAAAGGATTTACTTTGGACTTATGTTTGTGATATATGTTACATGCAACAGTGTATTCGTAATTATCGCACTTTCCTGCATCCACATAACCTAGATCGATCATACATGTTGTAAGCAGGGCTGACACTTTACTATCAGATGACCTAGTAATAGATGAGCTAATATCCATTAGTATTTCAGGAACTAACAGGAATGGATATTCTTGCTTTCTGTAGGTGCCGGCCCATGCAAATAATAACGAGCTAAGAATCGGCCGCTAAGCTAGGTAGGTCGATTTCTGACCCGATTGTGCTAGTTTCTCAATATGTAATCTAATCTAGAAGCGAGAGATTCAATTAGTTCTTCACATTATGGAAGGCTTGAAGTACAGACAAAATTCATGTCTTCAACTGGCAAGCAGCATGCCTGTATAAACAGACCCCAATCACGTCCTGACTCGATCCTTGCATGTCTGTATGGTGCATGAGATAGATACATCATGCAAGCCCGAATTGTAGAAATAGACTGCTCTTGCGCCATTCTTCACTTCTTTCTATTGGTTACTGTTCCTACGCAAATGATTAAAAGACGTACAATGGTTTTATTTTGCCGAAGCAGTAAACATTGTTAAATAAATTCACATTAGATGTTAGGGGTAGCCTACCACCTTCGTGTGAATTTTCTACTATGAAAAGTTTACACTAAATATTAGGTTATATATATATTTTCTTTATAAACTTTTCTATCGTGTTAATTCACATTAAAGCATACGGTTGATTTATCTTCCAAAACCTTTCTCGGTTTAAATTCATTTTGTCTCAATGTTTAGAAAATTCACAGAAAAAATTATTGCTTGTATGTATTCACACTAGATTTTGTATTCGTTTTGTGTGAATGTGCCTGGCCGTAGCGCAGAGTTGTAACCGGTCCGGTGCCGTAGCGGACGGGTTGAGTGAGTTGGACCGGCCGGTTTTCACCGGTTTTTACCGGTTTCACAAAGTTGTGCATATTCGTTCATTTTTCATCAGAAAGATACCATGTATGGGTGCTTAGTAGTTTTTTTTAAAGGAAAGAGAGAGTGACAATTTTATTTGAAATGTAAATTTTTTCTTTTTATTCTTTCAATTTGTTTTCTTCTTTTTTTTTTTACCATTCATTTTTGATCTTACCATTCATTTGACTTTATTACTTCTATGTATAGTATGCATAGAAGTATGCACGAGAAAATGTATGTATACATTGTATTACTTGAAAAAACTTGATGAACTCGCCGGTTTTTACCGGTCTGAAAATATTTTTAGACCGGCCGGTGACTGACCGGACCGGACCGGTCTAGTATTTCCAGACCGGTTACAACTCTGCCGTAGCATATGTTCACATTATATATATTTATTTCCTTATTTGTTTAATTTTGAAATCAAGTTCATAATTGTTCAATGTTTATTTTTTTTTTGAGTTTGTTTAAAAAACCAATGATATGATACAAAAAAAACTGAGAATTGGAATAAAAAAATATCTGGCTGTCTATAGTGAAGAGAATTTGTCATTTATTTTCGAAGGAAAATCCTTACCCTAGTCGAACATCTTGGAACCAAGATCTTGACATCTTAAATTTTTTCAAAAAGATCTTGGCAAGATCTTTGGTACAGGATGTCAAGATATTTTTGTTCCTAAGATCTTGCCCATGATCTTGCGTACAAAATCGTACAAAAACTCCATGAGGGAGGCATTAGGGAACGTTCATCCTAGCGGATGAAATGTTCACCACTGAGCGGTAAATTTCTTTTGTTCCCTACACTTGTTGAAAAAATGCAAAGAAAAAAAGTTAGTTTTGAAATATGACAATTTTTCAAATGTTCAAGATCCTGGGTACAAGATATCAAGAAATATCTGTACCCAAGATCTTGCGTAAGATCTTGGGTACAAAAATGTCCTGAGATCTTGTACGCAATTTTGCAAGATCTAGTGCCAAATCTTAACGTAAGATCTTGGTTTCAAGATGTTGGACTTATAAAAATACAACCGTTAATCAATTTATACTGACAGAAGAGACAACACACGTGATGCTTGTTCTTGAAAAACATTTTTTCTATTTTTTTTCTTTCTCTATATATATATATAAGTCAGAAAGTACGTCCAAGTTCTTTAGTGTGAATTTACACGTGTATGTCTTTACCCTAATGTAATTATACACGAATCTCTAATAGTAATTTTAAAAAAAAACAAATTCGAATGTGAATTTATCTATGTATGTCTGTACTCTACCGTACTCTAACTAATACAGGAGTCTCTAATGTTAATTATATATAATATAATGTTTATATTCTAATGTGAATTATATCAAAGGTATTATAAGGACTTAAGCTTGAATTAACATTAAAATAAGGCGTTTTTTCATACTGACTTTTAAAAAGTAAATGGCGATCCAGCACATTAACATTACTACGTATGAGAAAGACGAAAGTGGGTAGTATTAACTTAGGTTATAATGAAAAAATAACCGAAGATAATGTTAATTTACCTTACACTTTTTACAGTGAATGACGTTTTAAAGTGTTCGTGCAGTATATGTGAATTGTTTCTTTCCCAGACCCCATTGACTCTAATATTGCCACCTATCTAATTCTGCCAATTGGATCATGTATGAAAGCATGCTTTATTTTACATAATAATATTAGCAAAATAGTAGCAAAATACAAGCATTGTACGTCTTTTAATCATTTGCGTAGGAACAGTAACCAATAGAAAGAAGTGAAGAATGGCGCAAGAGCAGTCTATTTCTACAATTCGGGCTTGCTTGATGTATCCATCTCATGCATCATACAGGCATGCAAGGATCGAGTCAGGACGTGATTGGGGTCTGTTTATACAGGCGCATGCTACTTGCCAGCTGAAGACATGAATTTTGTCTGTACTTCAAGCCTTCCATAATGTGAAGAACTAGTTGGACCGCTCGCTTCTAGATTGGATTGCATATTGAGAAACTAGCACAATCGGGTCAGAAACAGACCTACCTAGCTTAGCGGCCGATTTCTAGCTCGTTACTATATGCATGAACTGACTCTTGTAGAAAGCAAGAATATCCATTCCTGTTAGTTCCTGAAATAATAATGGATAATAGCTCATCTATTACTGGTAGTAATAGATGAGCTATTATCAGTAGCGGATCTGGCACGACAGCGGTAAATGAAAAAAAAGGGCATTTGTCACATCGTGAAAAGCTACGCTAAAATTCGCCACTAATTGCCGACAATGTCAATCTAGAACTAATAGAAAGTAGCGATTCAATGTATCTTTTCTCGACTCATTAGTCATTACTCCCATTAATTCATGATTTCGATTATTTCTGAATACTTTTTCCTGTCTTATTTTTATTGTTATGTTTCAACGTCAAAGAAAGTACGTTGTCTTCGTCAGACAAAAGTACAATATATTTGAAGAAAAGGAAATTAATTAAACTATATATATGTAATAGTGCTGACGAAGAAGAAAGCGATAATTAGTCATTGTCTCTTTAGCACTTTGTCGCTGTCTGGTTCTTCACATATATTTTACTTTTGTCTGACGAGGACAAGGTACTTGCTTTGACGTTGAAACATAACAATAAAAATAAAACAAGAAAGAGTAATCAGAAATAACCCAAATCTACAATGAGCTTTCTTTCTCGACATCAATTAATTGATGATTAATTGTAAAACAGTTCAAAAGTCAACAGGAATAAACAAATGTTCGAAGTACTCAAAATAGCATAGCGTTGTAAGTTCGATTTCCATTAGGATAATCTAGATGTTTGCCTCGGATTTTTGAATGTTTTATGAAAAAGATTTGCTCTTTCGACTTAATGTTCTTCGAAAAACTCTTAACATATACTAATGAAAGTGACTTATTTTTATTTTCTATTACTATTACTTTACCATTAGATGACGCAGTAATTTACTGGGTCATCTAATAGTAAAGTGTCAGCCCTGCTTACAACATGTATGATCGATCTAGGTTATGTGGATGCAGGAAAAGTACGATAATTACGAATGCACTGTTGCATGTAACATATATCACAAACATAAGTCCAAAGTAAATCCTTTTTTTATTAGTTTCTGTCACACGTGGGACTATTCTCACTCTCACTTAAAAATATGATATATATATATCAGCACGTATGTATTTTAACATAATCAGTATCAATTCAAAAATGAAAATAATGAATATTGTGCCCTTGTTGTGCGCCGTTCTGCTTTTAGTAGTTCGTGTTTCCAGTGATGACAATTGCAAAGCACAAGCGTTTGCTGAATACCAAAAATGCTACAGCAGTATTGGTACAATGACGAACTGCAAAGAATCAACGTATCTGAATTACAGGCCTGACTGGAATGACTGTGAAACTGTGCAAATGTTTTGGGATGCACCTGTCAATAATTTAACAATCACATTTCAAACAAACATTACAACGGCGCATCAATTTTGTCTAGATGGTGCATCATGCATCGATGGTGTACTGTGGATAACCGACAAAGCCGAAGAAAACATTTCGCTGGCATGGTCCTCGGAACCTCGATGTTTTAAACGCAAAGCAGGCGAAACGATGATTAAATTCAAGTTCATGGCCGGTGAACGGTGGCACTGCTATGGAACAATGATAAATTATCGTTATAAACAGTAAAACTTTTCAACGTATATTATTATTTAAAATTTTGTATCTATGAACAAGTTTTCCGAAACACGTGTTTCAAAAACAGATTTAGAAAATTTTCTTTGTTACGAAAAGACATTCTGAAGTCTCTCAAGACAGCACAAAGGTGAAAAGTTCAGGTATTTGTATCGTTTTGTTTTTGAGTAAGTAAAAAGATGGTGGAGTCCATTCTCTTATTCGAAATACAGTAGAACGGAACGCATGTAACATTGATAGTACTTAATCATGAAATGTGATTTAAATGAGAGAACATTATAGGTAAAAAGTAAACCGAAATAAGTATGATATTATCTAGAAATATCTCGATCTTTTATCAATAGAAAGATTGTTAAAATTATTAAAACCAATTAATATTAAGGATATCCTCCCTCTTTTTTGAAAAATTTTCGACTTTTGAGCTCAGCATGGCCTATTATGGAGGAAAGTGTGGGCTACAAAATGAGACCACCTCCAGCCCTCCACGATCTTTCTTTTAAAAGTTATGCATTTTTGAAGTGTTTCCTTCAAAGCCTAAAACAAGTCAATTTTTTAGTTTCATAAATTTTTCTGTTGTTTTCTGTGCATTCGAAATTTTGCTTACAAATGGTCTGATAGAAGAAAGTATTTTCTTCACAATGAGACGTCTCCGGGAACTTTTCGATGAGTTTTGGTGGAGATATAAGCATCGTGATGAATGCCCTGAAAAAAGAGGTGTATGTACAAAATGCGATTTTTCTCGAAAACTATTTTTTTACTACCAGGCTTCATTGTGTCACATTACGACCCGCCTTAAATTTCATTCGATCGAGTTCAAAATTTCACCAGAGGTACTCACACTGTTACAGACACTGTTACAGAGGTATAGTTTTCGGAATTTTAAGGGTAAGCCTCCAGAAAAGCCAGTTTTTCCAGAAAACCCATAGAAGAACACGTCAAAAAGTTCGGGGCAAAAATTCATCGATTTTCTTTTTCGATGTTCGATCTATGGTATAAATTAGAACCCGATCCGATATCGGCTTTTCTAATTTCCGACAGGGTAAAAAAAGGGGGGGATACCCTTAATGCAACACAATATAGTCAATGTAGCCCATTGTAGCCCACGCACGTAACTTCACACAATGAAAAACCGTTTTATCGGAAAAACTGGTGAACGGCAATACTATTGCCGTTCTTGAAACTTTCGTTTTGTTTCAAGATTTTAACCGTTAAAATCTTGAAACAAAACGAAAGTACCCCATTGAGTTTCCAATTAGTTCTGAAAATACGAGGTACTACTGACTTTTAGTTTTTATTTCACAACATCTCTTCGGAAAGCCCAATAAGAGGGGATGGGTGTAGTGCGCTCAGTTGTGTCCCGAATTCAACTTTCACTACAAAGCAGCCCAGTTCTTGATCTTGACAACAACATATGATTATGAATTATTACTGTTATTATATAAAAAAAAGAATACAAATCGTTTGTTGAACAATGCGGTAAGTAGAAATATGAGTCAATAGTTAGTGGTTTGTCAATAGTATTGATGTTGACGATGAGAAAATAATATTGGTAGAGGATTGCTTGTGGTGACGCGAATTGGCGGAGACTGGTTAACAACGTTTGGACAACAGAAAAGAACACAAGAGTCCAGAAACGAATTCAGAATTTTAAAATAGATAGAACTTAATACCAAAAGAAAAATTCTAAACTAAACTATATCCTTTGTATATTCTAAAAAGGCACGAAGAAAAATGTGTCTTTTAAATTCGAGTTTCTATGCAACTTATAACTAGTTTATTTTTAACTAAATTAAGAATGCATAGAAGACAAAAAATAGTAAGAAGTGGTTGAACAACATTTCTATGGAAAGCCTAAAAAGAGGGGAGGGGTACCCTTAACATGTTAAATTTTGTCTAAACAATATTTATTTACTGAGATTAATCAAATGCATTGCATTCTCGCCCTTATTTATCACAAAATTACTGAAGTTCACAGTAAACAAAACAAGTACTTCGTAGCGTTGATGTATCATCGTCGAGCACTTCAGATTCATCGAAAATGTAGTCCTTTAAACCCTGCAAAAATAGTAGAATCTCATGTCCATATTGGCGAAGTTCATCATTTAAAAGCCTGTCTAAATCGTGCCCTGAAAATTTACCGACAGGCGTTTAACTTTTCTCTGCAGGCGAAGCTACAGAAGTACTCTCGTATCGCTGATGTTTATAACAATATGGGATGTGTGTATAATGATAAAGAAGAAATTAAGCTTTTTGAAATACTGTAAGGAAGCACGTACCATCAGACTACAGCATTTAGAATCGGTGAGTCACCAGTCAATGGCACCGATCTTCTTCAATATAGGAGTAGCTTATCTACAGACTAAACAGTATACAACAGCGCTAGAGAATTTGCAAAAATGCTTAAAGATTCAGCTAAACATGCATTATCAAGAGCCGTTTTGTATTGCGTCGACATATGCCGGAATTGCATCTATTCACAACGCACAAGATCAGAGCACAACAGCAAACGCGTATTTGCAACAGACGCTCAACATTCAACGGCAAAACTTTTCGAACGATGATCCAAGTATAGCAACAACTTATTGTTCAATGGGTGAAATTTATTATGACATGTCTAAATACTAGTAAATTCTAGAAAATTACAAAAAATCGCTAAAAATTCAACGCAAATGTTTGCCCAAGAATCATCTTCATCTTTCAGACTTATATACTGGATCAATAACAGCCATTAAATAAGATAAAATGATTGATATCACAGTCGCTCATTCCAGTATAGAAACAAATCAAAAAACAAATAGAAGACGTATCAATAAAAGTAATACTAATTACTGCAAAAAGGACTCAAAAAAGGAAAGAATTCTTTCCTGTTATTAAAGAATGTTGTCGATAAAAAAATTAAATATTTTTAATAATATTTATAAAAGAGTCTCTAGGTGCACTGGAAACGGGTTTTTAGTAATAAATTTAATTCAAATCCTTTTTTTTTGTTGCCTTTAGTATAAAACTTTTTAAAAATTGTAGATTTTTTACCAAAAAGTAAGATAGTTTTCAGATTCAGAATGTGTCGAATAAAATCTCATTCATTTCCATATAGCGAAATAGTATTTATAATGGAATTATTTTCTCTGGATACTCTAGAAAAGAAAAAGACTTTGTTTTAACGATGTAGTTATTTAGTAGAATTTGTATTGACTCCAATATTTTTCATTAAGTTTTAGTGATTCCATTCGCACACAAACTTTTATTATCAAAAGTCTCAAATACAAAATTTTTCAAAGATTCTATATAGTTTATTCATAAAAAAGAAAAAGAAGAAAAATCGAAAAAACGAAACTATTTAATAATAAATTTGACCTTAACATGAGTTAAGGACAACAATAAAAGAAGATTTGTTAAGAAAAATATTTTCATTCAGCAACACGGTAAAATAGGCTTTACAATAAAAAGAAACAGAAAAGAAAATGAGAGCACAAAACTAGTATCAGATACAGAGAACGATATATACTAGAGAAGCAATAAGAAAAAAAAACGCGTACAATTTCTAAGTGAATTTTTTGATCAAAATAAAAAATATGTGTAAAAGTAGTAGAAACAATTTCTGATAATTATTCATTTTCAGAACATACAACTAAGTTGAACTATGAAAATAAATAAAAAACATATATTGTTTTTAGATTTTTAAG